TTGTGCTTGCAGAGTAGGGGAAGCTGCTGCTGTGCAATGTGCTTCTCCTAGCCTACAGCACCTTCAGCCTCCTTGCCTGCCTCATTGTCTCCAGCACCAGTGGCTGTGCCTGTGTGGGGTAAGGCGGGGGCACCTCCCAACTATAGTACTGTACTGTATGGCAAAAAAAAATTCCCTGGAACCTAACCCCCCCCCATTTATATTCATTCTTATGGGGAAATTGGATTCGCTTAACATCGTTTCACTTAAAGTCACATTTTTCAGGAACATAACTACAACATTAAGTGAGGAGTTACTGTATCCAGCTTACTGCACAGGGAAAATTCCATCCTCTGCATAGTCTACATAGAACAGAGAAGGAAACTTCTTTGCCTTCAATTAAAGTGAAAGTCCCAGTGTTAGATCCCTGGGAACAGAGTGCAGAAGGGCTGGAAGCCTCACTAGCTACAAAAAATTGCTGGAAAAAAATGGAACTTATCTGGTCTGGGATGAAGGAAGTGATTAAGAAAGCCGGGTGCAAGGAAAACTGGATGAGCCTTTCACTTGCTTTTCCTAGTCTCCTGCTTTCCCATACCACTGAAAATCTAAGGAAAAAAAGAATTTCCCCAAGCATCACTAAACTTCGCCAGAGGTCAGAGAACAGAAGGTAACATACAGGGAATAAAATTACCAAACTTCCAAAGAAATTTACTCCCAGCACACCTGCAGGACCTTCCATTTTGCCTTGTTCCTTTTTTCCCCTTGGCCAGAAAAAGCAATTATTTAAACCCCTGAATTAATGAATTCAGACTTGATAGACCAACTATTCTAATGATGCTGTTAGGGCCAGAGCTCCCACTACTGTACATTCAGACTTATCCAAAAACCTAGGTGCCAACATGCTGTTTATTCTGTTTGGACAAAACAGAAAGTAGCTAAAACAACTACAGCTGGGTGAAATTTATGTACCAAAATCTTTTCTTGACATGTGCCTGGTTTGGGGTTTGCAAAGAGTTCACAAGATTTTGTTCAATTTTACTACAATTTGAAATTATTTGGGGGGAAATAGATCTAGCTGTCAAGAGACTTGTATTCTAATCATGTTCTGACACGGACTTGCTGTGTGAACTTGAATGCAACTGTGCACCTTAAGTTCCCCTATTAAATAGTGATACAGAGATTTACCTACTTCCAATAGAGGCCTAAATTTGCTTGTAACATGTTAAGATGAGTCATTGGTTGAGGCGAGAAGAGAATTCACAAACTCCCACTAAGCAGGATTAGTTCTGCAAACCCCACCACGTACTCTTCTTTTACTTTTTGCAACACTGTTCAATTTCTTTGTCTTCCTTGCTGTTACTTTTTGTGTGAATTTGAGTTTCCACGTACCTGCCCACGACAAATGTTCAGTTTCTTGAACTGCCATGGAAAATCAAAACATCAGGTGGTCAATAACCACATAAAATTAATTATTGAAAAAAATCACATTAACTTTCACAAAAAAACAACAAATCAATCAATTTCACACTGTCCTACAAAGGAGTCACTGAATACCTATCTCGGTGTAGGACCCTGAGCTAACAATGCACATAAGTACATGAATAATCGAATGTAATCAGTTGGGACTACTTGCTTATAGTTAGGCACATGCTTGAGTATTTTGCTGAACTGGAGCCTCACTTCATATGAATAACTTTTGGGTATTCGGAGTGAGGTAAAACAACTCCAGATTATTAGTTACTGTCGTCATTATTTACTGAAATGTGGGCCTCAGGGGTTTTATCAATGTATTAATTCATGTTGCTTGTGAGAAGAAATACAGAAGTTCCATCATCTTCATTTGATTAAAATGTACCTGAAAATATAAAGGTAGAGCTTTATTTTCAGTGAGTCCTTAGACTCCCTTCCAATGTTAATCCAATCTAAGAGCAGCTGTTCGTTTTTTACTCTCCCCCCTTAATATGATTGTTTCCTCTCTTTCTCCACGACTGTAGGTTTTTCTGTTTCATCTGCAACTTCTCTCAGTCCTTCGTACTCAGATAGAAAAAACAGTCCTCCCTCCAGGCTATGGAGTACTGGTTATGCTTCACATTAAAGAAAGACGACGGGACTCATCTGCACAAGGACATATACTTGGGTTAAAAGAAAAGTCAATGCTTTTACTAATAGCAAATCATTTCACTCTGGAAAATTCTCAGCTAGGCTTAAAAACTTTCAAATGCTCAGTGTAATGCAAGTCATCTTAAAAATGCAGTGTAATATACTGTGCAACACCTTTTTTTAATGCATAGTGCTCTTTAATTTTTTAAGGGGATGCTTTCAATCCTATAAAATCCATTCCTGTGTCTTTTATGTTATGTTCAGTTGACAAAGATGACTGGACAATTAGCTATCTTTGTGCTAAGCTAGCTTTCCTGCAAGCTTCACGCAAGTAGAAGGTACACTTAGAAGAAGGTGGTCAAGTATTATGTTTTTTTATTTGCTTCCTGTGGAAATTAACTTTCTTTTAACGTGGTTTTCAAAGAAGGAAAATAGTAAAACAGATAAAATGTGAGCCAAAAATGTGAAGGAGTCTGTGTTTCAAAGGACTAAAGTTTTCTTTGGGCTCCAGTATTATCATCATGAGACTCAGGAATGTATTGCACTGATAAGTGTTCTTATATTTTAGCCTTACAATGTGATTTATCTTCATTATTTGCCAGTTTAAAAATAGGAAATGCTGTAATAACTGTGAATAGATTAGTCTGTTTTCTATATTTTTTACAGAAAATTATAAATATGGCTCCCCATAGGTACAATTGCAGTATATTTGTGGTTACTGTACTCTCCTGCGCTAATGACCGAGAATGCTAAAAAGCATGTGCCTTTCTAGAGTAAACATAATTTATGAATGAAGATTTCTAGAACAGTTACAAAGGCGTATGCAAATCTTTTTGAGTGAAGGCAGTTATTTTTCATTTGTTTTTGGCTTTCTGTTTGTTAATACAAACAGTGTATTTTCATTGATTGATTAGAAATATAGGTACCTCAGCAGACACTGAGCCTCCATGCATCACCACTGCCCTGGTTACTGCATTGTGAACTAAGTGGCACGTTATATGATAAAAATGAAGTATGAATGTCAGTTAGTTTAACCTGTTTGTCTCTGGTACAATATGGGCACCCTAAAAATGTTGACTTTTACTACTAGCTATTAATAGTGTGTACAAGCAGGGCACAGTATAATTAATATCTTACCTAATAGTAAAAAGAGTACTTACTGTATAACAGCTACGTGTAACAAAATAAGTGTATGCAGCATATTGCATAGGTAGTAAACTATTTTATTTTTTGTTCTGTTTTTTTAAGTGTTGATTGGCTAGAACAGGCCCATATGACTCAAACTGCATTATTGACAGAAAAATCAGAAGCTACTTAACTAAACCAGGAGGTAGATCACTGCACATGCTCAGACATGCTGAGCTTTTCAGAAGACTGCCAACAAAGTACATACGAGTGAGATTTTTACACATTTATTTTAAAACATGAGAAGAGAATGGTTTTCAAGCCATAGCTTTAAAATATTGCTCCTAGGAGGGAAAAATTACCTCAGTTGTGGTATGTTAAATCCTTCGATGATTAAAATTGAAATAATGGTCATTTTCTTTCATCCTGTGGGCAATATTTTGCAGCTATCACCTTCAGCCTCAAGCTTTGTTTACATATATGTAATACTGTCAGAGGGACAACTGTGAATAATTTCCTTAGTTGTGAATTGTCAAAAAAAAAAAACAAGAAGTTCAGTGAAGTTAGTCACAAGTGATCTGTTATAAAGAACATAATATTGTGTCATTACAGTGTGAGCCAGTAAAATATTCAGCTCTTCTTGTGAGAAACATATGAAATATGCAAGATTATACAGGCAAATATTCGAAAGACATGAATGTATACACAGGCAAATTCTGTGGCACATAGGTTTTTTTACATGGTATTATTGGAAAATGCCACATTGTTCAATAGTATTCCTTTGTGGGGTTTTGTATAATTTATTTACTAGTACTTGAGAAATACAGATGTGCCTTACATGCTGGTGTTCCTTAAAATTGACAGTTTGAATGTAAATATGACCGTTTATACTTGTTTTATTTAATAAAGCTTTATAAGATTCCTTAACGTAGTGTTGCTGGCAATTTTTATGTCTTGGCTGCTTGATCGCTAAAATTACATTACAAACTGTTTGGCTCTTGTTATTCATATCCCATGCTATACCTTTTATTGTCATGTTGCAAGGTGATTGTAAACTTGTCATGTTTATTGGCTCTAATGATTAACGGGCATATCAAATTTGCTTACAGTAAAAGTAAAACATTGTTGTTGTTTTTCTCATTGTCAGTCCTGAAAACTCACCATAGGATTTGACAGTCGAGACAGGCTCTTTTCTTCTCACCCATCATCTCCACCACAAAGAAAGATCCTGCACACCAGGTTATGCCCTTAGTGACCCCTGTGCAATTCCATTGTCTCCAAACTATGCCCCACAATTACACCGGTACAATTGCTTTTACTTTTATTATAACTGGTGTAATTTATGGCATAATTTGGAGACAGTAGGATTATGCAGGTGCCACTGAAAGTGTAATTTGCCCTACAGGATTTTACAGGTGGTATGAGAAAAATAATCTATCTTGACTGTCCAAACCAAGAGTAAGTGTGTAAATTTACCAATTGAAGGAGTTTAAAAAAAACCCTTTTACTTGTAAACTGAGAAAATTTGACATGGAATCACTGAAATACAGGTAAGCTGGAACCCGGGGATGCCATTTTTACTAAGGCACTTTGCAGAGTTGAACTGATCTGTAAAGAAGATAACCAAATGTTTTGCTTCATTCTATAGTTAAGCCCATGAACAGCAATGTTAAATGCAAGTTAGTGGCTGTCACCTACACTTATATCTTGCAGCTGATTTCTTCTGATATATCCAACTGAGGTGTCCAGATTCTGGACACCTTTGATTCTGTTCTTTTTTTATGAACTTGACTGGGAGTGGCTGAGAGTGCTCATCTGAAATAGGTGAGGAGTTCCATAAATCTTCTGTGATTGAAATGGTAGGGAACATTCTGGGCCCTTTTCATTGGGTTCCTCAACATTAGAGTTGGTCAACGTTTTCCAGATTTTGAGGGGTTGTTTGTTAAATCTTTCCTCAAAAATATAATTTTCTATTTAAATATTTTTGTCAAATTTTCATCTAAAATGTGTAGGTCGTTTTTTTTTCCAGTCAGCTCTGCTGAACATCTCAACTCCCTTGTGTTCAGTGATGTTAAAGGATGCCTTAATTTCCACAGCTCTAACTTTGGTTTTTCAGAAAAATGGCGTTTTTTTCCACTTAAAGAGATTGAGAGATACTGAGTTGCTATGGTGATAAGTACTTGAGAAATGCTTATAGACATGTTTATTCTCCTCAACATACAAATGTCTCTTCTGTTCCAGTACTTAGTCCCTTCCTAGTCTAGGCCACTAGTCCTGTGTTGCATATATTTAATTAAGTGAACTGCTCTAAATATTAAGTGACTTGGGTGGAGTGCTTTGGGAACAGCTTGTTGTATATTACACCCCTAGATTTAGTTTCTTGGCATGCATCCAGCTGCTCTAATGGTGATTTACCTTAAACTGCTAGTGCTGAGGGTCTAAAAGCAAGATGGCTTGGTTCATGAAGTGACGCGCCACAAGAGGAAACAAAGCTTTTGCGTTAGAGCCCTGTATGGTCGCATCAAACCACTGGTGCTCTGGAGGGTTATTTGGGGCTGTAAGTGCTCTTTGTCTAAACAAATTGCTGCCACTGTAAACTCAAATCTTTCCTTAAAAGAACAGTTTGAGTAGAATAAGGCTCAGGCTTTCTGCACCTAATGCTGAGATTTCTTTCTCACACATTTATTGTAAGCTGATAAATTTGCAACTATGATGAGTACTTTCCAGTGGGGTCATAGAAACACTGCATGAGTTAATTGATTCTTGTACTGTGATGCTATGACCAAATGTCAATGGAGAACATAAGGCCAAGTCCTGGTCCATTAATACTTAGTCCTACCATGAGTGCAGAGAACTGGACTAGAAGACCTCTCAGGGTCCCTTCCAGTCCTATGATTCTATGATTTAAGTTCTGTAGGAATTTTGTCATTGCCTTCAGTGGGATCATGATTCGGTCTTTGTTGCAATGGCCTTTGGTTAATCAGCAAAATTATTTCCTAGTGTTGGTTCTTAGAGTGAATAAAATCCTTCATTGGTTGACGTAGAACTGGTTGAATATTGCAGGGAAAAAAATCAAAACCCAAATCTGTGAATATTCAAATTTCTGAACAAATGAGTTGGTCTGTTTGCAACCTTGTGTTTACTTCTCTGAATATCCAATTGAATGAGCTCAGTGGCAGAAATGCTGGCTTGCAACAGCGAGTGGTCAGTGACTACTGCAGGAAATGTCCAGGAAGCAAATAGTTTAAATTGATAATTGCACATATTTGTACTGGCAACCTGATTTTAAGAGTTATGCTCATGTAGTGAGGGAACAGAAACGCCCCCTGAAAAAATGTGGCCAGCCTAAGCAGCTATTACTTTGGGTTGTCTGTACTTAAAAGTTAATTCAAATTAAAGTAGGATGTGAATTTAAAGCACAATAGCTAATCCTGAATAACTCCATGTGCAGAGGATACGCAAGAGGATAAATGGACACAAGTCAGATATCGGGAAGGGGTCAGGGCAGAACCCAACACGCCCAGAGAATTCCTAACTCGGCAGAGGAGGGGAAGAACTTCACG